GGGCATGATTCCTACTGCAGCTGTGGTGAACAACATCCATCTTCAATCCTAAAAGGAAGAGGGGAGGAGAGGAGCTGGGGGAGGTCACTGAAGGGGAAATCTTTATAAGGGTCTGTAATTCCCAAAATGGGACTGTGTTGTTGTGGCAATCAACTCATGATACAAACAATGGGAGAGATGGTGTCTGAAGAGTCTTCAGGTAATAATAACTTTAACAGTTAACTCGACTTTTGCCATGACACTTTACTCTTATTTAAATATTTTGTTTATATTAAACAATGTGAGTGCAGGTAGCTGTTTGGTGTTTTTTTTAAAATACATGTGTCTCAGATTTAGATTGTCAAGACAGAACAGAGTACTAACTTTGGGGATGTATCACAGTGACTTAGTACACTTGGTGGCCTCTGGATACTAAAAGACCACGTTTGTGAGAGAGCAGATGGAGCCAATTCTGCATGTGATGTGCTTTAATCATTTAGAGAACCCATTGTCCGTCAAAGGTAAAAAGATTAGCAATTTAGCCCCACTACTGCTGTGACTAACAACTTGGCACTCTGTTATCAGCACAGTGAGCTGTACTGTATCTCCAGCCTTCTGCAGTATGAGACACCCATAACTGGGGGGGGGAAGGAAGTCTTTAAAAACGTTCATAACAAACAGGTTTCCATGCTGCAGCCCATAGTGTGAAGGGGTGTCAAAAGGAAGGAATTCAATCTGCTTTGAGATGCATGGTGTGAAACATCTCTGTCATAAACCTGATCTTGTTGGTATGAGATTAGCTGTTTGATTCTTATGTAGGTTTCTGAAAAAAAGGTAGAGAAGCTAGTCTGATCTATTTTGTTACTTCCATTTTCGGGCTTTGGTGCCATAGGGTGCTTGTGAGGATTGCAGTGTTACAGACATGTTTAGATGATGCAGAACTAACCCAAAACCCACAACTGTTTGGGTTTTTTTTTCATTAAAAACAGTGCCAAATTAAATGCCTTTCTATTTTTTGCTTTTATTAATACATTTTAACTGTTTTGCTGTGTTCTAAAATACTGAAGTTTTAACTACACACTGATACAGTTTTTAGATTTTCTTTTGCAGTAGGTGATTCTGAGATTGTGTGGACAATTGTTATTTGAATACTGTGCATAGGGTCCTAGAAACATACTGCTTCTGTAATGCAGAAAGACTGGCAAAGCATACTTCACCCTGCAGACTGAAATCTTGAAAACAGCTGTAACCGTGGTGAATGTTACTATAAATAACCTTTCAGTAAATCTCCTAAGAGGTCAATGTCTGCTGCCAAATTAGAAATCTGAGGCTTTGACTTACCTGTTCCTTTTTAACTGTCTTCTGGATGTGTTTACTGCATGCTGAACCTTACTGAAACCTGCAGTGCACTTGTTGCCTGTCTTGGTGGTGTCGGCAGGAGTACTGTAATCAAAAGCCTTTGATACGTGCTTTTGCAATGTATACAGTAACGAAGGGCATTAAGTCAAACTCATGCAGTTAGTTCTGGCAGGTCTTGCCCTGCCTACCACCAAGGGACTTAAAAAGGAAGGGAAATGCATGTTAACAGCATTCCTGCTTTCCTCAAGTGTTTTAGAAACCTGTCCCTCTTCACTGCTTGGCCGCCTGTAATTTTCTTTACCAAAAAAAGCTTGTAGAAAGTTGTTGACAGTCCAGAAAGCAGAATGGGGTTTCGAATCTAGCTCTCCTATGACTACTGTTGCATTTTTTATAATCATATAATGCTTTGGGACCTTAAAGATCATCTAGCTCCAACTCCCCTGCCATGGGCAGGCACACCTTCTACCAGCCCAGGTTGCTCCAAGCCCCGTCCAACCTGGCCTTGAACCTTTCTAGGGAGGGGGCAGCCACAGCTTCTCTGGGCACCCTGTGCCAGGGCCTCACCACCCTCACAGGGAAGAATTTCTTCCTTATATCTAATCTAAATCTACCCTCTTTCAGTTTAAAACTGTTACCCCTCATCCTATCCCTACACCCCCTGATCAAGAGTCCATCCCTAGCCTTCCTGTAGCCCCTTTAAGTACAGGAATGCTGTAATAGGGTCTCTCCAGAGCCTTCTCTTCTCCAGCTGAACACCCCCAACTCTCTCAGCCTGTCCTCACAGGGGAGATGCTCCAGCCCCTGATCATGTTCATGGCCTCCTCTGGACCAACTTGAGCAAGTCCATGTCCTTCTGATGTTGGGTCCCCAGAGCTGGACACAGCACTGCAGGGGGGTCTCACGAGAGCAGAGCAGAGGGGAAGAATCCCCTCCCTCACCCTGCTGCCCACACTGCTCACTGCTCTGGATGCAGCCCAGGATACGGTTGGCTTTCTGGGCTGTGAGTGCACATTCCTGCTCACAGTCAGTTTTCCATCCACTATGACCCCCAAGTCCTTCTCTGCAGGGCTGCTCTCAATCCACTCCTTGCCCATCCTGGATTTGTGTTTGGGATTGCCCTGGCAATGGTCCCGCCTGTCCAGGTCCCTGAGGATGGCACATCCCTTCCCTCCAGTATGTCAGCTGCACCACACAGCTCGGTGTCATTGCTGAACTTGCTGAGGGTGCACTCAGTCACAGTGTCCATGTTGCCAAGAAAGATGTTAAGCAGTGCTGATCCCAAGACCCACCCCTGAGGACGCTGCTCGTCACTGCTCTCCACTTGGACATTGAGCCGCTGACCACAACTCTTTGAGTGCGACCATCCAGCCAATTCCTTATCCACCAAGGGGTCCATCCATCAAACCCTTGTCTCTAAAATTTAGAGACAAGGATGTCATGCTGTTTAAGGTTAACTTACATAATTTGAGTGCTCTTCTAAGCATCCCTGGTGCTGATATCACCATTCTTAGTGGAACTGGTCCCTGAAGACTCAATTGCAGCACTCAGCATCTTCCGCAGTACAGTCATGAGAGTCTTTGTGTGGGAGTTTCTCAAGTAGTGTGGATTAAGATTTGGAAAGTTATTTTTCTCTTTCTCACCGTTGGATTTAGCTATTGCTTTTTAAACTCTTATACCCCTTAACTAACAGAGCCAAGTGTATAGCTGGGCTTCCTTGTAGCAAATGAGCATAAGTGAATGTGTGCATGACCCTTGAACTACCTGCAAAGGCAGGGCTGGGAATACTGTAAAATCACAGCAGCTAAATCCCATAGTGTCTGCCTCTTGAGTCCTAAAACAGGGAGACTGTGGGAGCTTGCACCACAGTTGAGAATTACGGAAACAGCTGTAGCCCCATGTAGTTAGCAAGGCCGATGTAGACACAATGGGGACAAGCAATTAGAACCGTTGAAATACTTTCTCCCCCACAAGTGTGAGCCCTTTCTTAGAAATCAGGTACCCTGTTGAGAAAGTTCAGAGAGAAGCAAATGCCTCTGTTCTCTCCTCCTTAAAGTGTAAAAGATTAAATCCTCGGCCCTACTCTTCTCTGGAGTAAAAGAGCCAGGACATGATAAAGGTGATCCAAAAGATAACAAATCAGGATGTGGTAGAAGCCTGTTGCCTCTTTCTCAGTGAAGTGCTTTCCCAGAACCACCTCCCAAAGCCCTGTCAAAAGGAAACTGTATGGTTTTACCTGTTACCTGCCATCAGAAGTATTTCACATGCATTTCAATCATGCACCAAAAAAAAGTGGAAAAAAAAATCATATGTGGTGGGTTGGGGTTTTTTGTAAAGAAGACTATACAGTTAGTGTGTGGTGTGATTAGGGGTTTTCTGTTAGCTTCTAAATTTTAGCAGTAGACTTGCCAGTAATGCAAGAGCATGTAACAGCATTATAACTATTTGATTAGCAACTTCTCTTATATACCTGGAGCATGAGTTTTGATCTGTTTCCATTCCCAGCATCTTAAGTTGCCAAGTATTTGAAATGTTACAGCTGAGGCATCTAGAAAATGTCATCGCCACTTGTCAATTTATGAGAGGCTTATCATAGGCTTAGCAGCTCTGAGAAGCTGTAAGTTAGTCTGTCCAAGGAGGGAAAAAATGCTACACCACATGGTGTTTCAGATCAATGAGGGGATAATGATATCCATATTCACCAATCAGTTAACTATACAAGTCCCGTTTTTATGAAACCTCTGCCCCATGTCATCAACTTGTGTCCTGGGGTTCCCACACGCTCCTGACTGAGAAGTGGCACTTGCCATGTGTTTGAGTGAAACACTGATTTGCCAGTGCAAAACAAACCTGTGTCTGCATGTGCACAGAAGGATGAAGATGAGATTATTCAAGGTCAGGTTATCCTGTCTGTGCTAACATGGTAGGAGATTAATGAAGGAAGGATTTTGCTGTTAAAAATGACCCACTACATTTCTTTCATGTGAACAGACACTGTACTGCAGTTGGAAGTGTAGCTGCTAACTTTAAGCAGTTTGGATCAAGTGACCATGCAAGTGAAGATACAGGAGCACAGGCACCAACTGCTCACTCAGAGCCCTTGGTGGGCTTGTACAGCCTGGGCTGAAACCTCCAGTCTTCCCTTTCTGCTGTGCTGATGCTACCCAACCCGCAGTACAGTTTGCCCTTCTCATCACAGTGTGGTCACAGCCTCAGCAGCCAGAGTTGAGACAGCTCACTCTTCTGTTTTGGTTGGTGTTACAGGAAGGCAGCGTGCAAGCCCCGAGTTCCCCTCTCAGGTGTTCCACTCTCCCCAGACCCGAGCGGCCGTCAGACGTGGGACCAATGCGTTATGCAGAACTGGTTTGGATGATTTGTCTTCACAAGGGTGGGATTTATTTCTAGTAGTGACATGGCAGAAAAGGAAGTGCTGTGTGAAATTACTGCTCTCTTTCATAGCCATCAGAGAGTCAATTCCCTCCCTTTTTAGTCTGTATTTCAAGGCAAAATAGCTGATTGTTTTGGGTTGACGGAAGAATCCAGATCAGTCTCCTGAAACTTGTCATTAAGCATTCCTTATGTACCAGAATGGAGAAAGTAATTCTCTTTGATTACTTTGGTTTTCCTTTGCTTGTTTTAAATCCCTCTGGGTGTCTCTTGAACAGGCCCAGAGTCCTTGGCTTCCCCACTATGGAGCAGTTGATGTCCATTTTACTGGCATGGCTGACTGTTTCCGTCAAACTGTGAAGAACAAAGGTGTGCTTGGACTTTGGAGTGGACTCACACCCAGTCTGCTCAAGGTGAGGTTTTGCTTTCATCCCAATCAAAGACTACCCTGAAGTAATCAAGACACACTTTTGGGCAGCTGGGGTTATAAAGCTTATGACATGCCTCCGTACTTATTAGCAGCTTATAGGTGACAGAGTCTGTGACAGAACAACTATAACCTCAGGGAGGTTATAAACCAGATTTGGAGCTTGGTTTGGTCTTATTTTCCCTAATGTAAGCTTGGCTTCTAGATGTCAGTGCTTTCAAGTTCATTTGAATGTCCTGAGAGAATGGAGTGCTGCTAACACATAAGGTAGGGTATGGATGGGGGATTGCAAGTGATCCACTTATGACAGCTGAACAAGTTCTGTTTCTCAGCTGAGCTCCAGTAATTTGACATGTTGTACCAAGCTGTAAAGAAAATTGCGCTTGTGTGATACTTCCCCAGAAGTCAAAAGTATACTTTTGACTGGCTATTTAATGCATGCATGTCTGTTACTACAGCCCTTGCTGAGTTGAAAGCTTGAACAACATCACAGTAGCATAAACAGAAGGTAATTTAGTTTACAGAAATACATTTTGTAGTGCTGTGGTGAGGATTACCTACCTGGAGTACTACAGGTCAGCTAATGAGTGGTAATTGAGTGACAACATGATTGATTGTGATGGCCTGCGTGTGCCTGGCCCTGCCTTGGCTGGTGTAAAGCCACATGGCACCTGAGCTGCTGATTCTGCATGGGGCAAAAGAAAAAAACCTGTTTAGTCACTCTGCTGTATGTAGAATAAATCCCACATTTCCTCCTGGGATTTGCTGAGGTTTCTTAGGATTTGTTTAGGTGACAAGTTGTGATAATCCATAGGCTAGCACAGACCTTGTTCGTTACAATATTGTTATAATTAGTTATGTACCAGTAATAAACTCCTACTTTTAGCATGCTGCAGGTGCCAGCCTAGTTTGAGGGGAGACTCTGACTTAATGTAAATGAGCACAGCTCTATTAGCAGATCAGATTTGTAGTCCTAGAAGTTTCCTTTTTTAAAACATCTAAGCTAAGGATGATACTGGTGAGTCTAATACTGCCTTTTGTATCTTACATTGCTTTTTAAAATTTCTTTTCTCAGATTGTCCCATACTTTGGTGTAATGTTTAGCACCTTTGAATTCTGCAAGCGGGTCTGTCTGTACAGAAATGGTTATATTGAATCTCCTTTAAATTACAAGCTAACTCCTGGTGTGGACCAGAGTTTACAGCCACAAGAACTGAGAGAATTGAAGCTACTCCGAAGGGAAAATTTTGAGCGAAGGAAATCAGCTCTTGAAAACTGACATCAGAGTGTCTGTTACAAGATATACGTGCTACCTTTCTTAAGGAACTTTGCAAGAAAGACATGCCGAACTACAGGTACCAGCATCCCAGCAGATTGCATGGTTTTACTTCTGAGACACCAGTGCCAGGAATGAATAAATCTTGTATCTCATTTGCTGAATGGATATAAACAATATAAATAGCAAGCATATACTGAAGAGGAGAGATTCAACTAGTTTGAAATCACAATACTATTGGAACTTGAAATTGCATTATTCTAGGTGCTTTTCCATACTGAATAGCCATTTTGAGATAAAACCACTTGCAGAAAGGCAAGAGAACTGAGGTGAGACTATAAATGGTATCTTCAGAAATATGAAGAAAATTCAAATGGGTTTTTTTTTAAGTAATCTGAGATACCGTGTCAGCCAAAAATTATAAACGGAGTAGAATACATACAAAGTGCAAGAATTTCTACTGAAATGTCTTTTTTTTTTAGTGATGCTGTATGGATGTGGCATTCTCTGTATGCAGAATTAGTCTCAGTTCAGTCACACTCCAGAATCCAGTCTTCAGTGTTCGAGACTTACTTGAGAATAATAATTTTGTATGAATCTTTGGTGTAAAGATTAAAATATGCTGCTTAAACCATGCTTTTGCTAAGAGAGAATTGTAATGTGCAAAATGAACTGGAATACACCGGAATGACAACCTTACAAACTTAAGCGCATACTAGAAAATATTCCCCCCTTTCTCCTATGTCATTACTGCATGTACTTGAATTATTTCAGGCTTTGAAGAATAGTTTTCCTGAAGTAATTTCCTGAAAAGTGCAGTTCTTAAATGTATTAGGTCTTTCAGAGCCATGGGCCTTATGTTGTTTCGGTATTCTTAAAGCTCTGTTTTTATATTTAACTACTTTTTAGTTCCTGTGCACAGACCCGGGCATACAGTGCTGCTCCGAGCTTTCCAGGAGGATAGCACTGTGCACACAGGCTGTGAGTTTTACTCTTTAACACTGCAATCCAAGAGCCACCGACAGTTTCTGTAGACTGGAACCTCTCTGCAAGACCACTAGGTTATTGCCAGTGCCAATGCAATTGATAGGCCTCTGACCAGTCTAGGGAGCTTTGGGGCTATAAAAGGTCATCTTGGTATTATACCTGAGGACCTGTGGCATTGCTCCAGTTCCTTTGTAGAAGTACAGCTATGGAACAGCCCCATCCTAGTGCCTTCTGATAGAAACCTTAAACCCCGTGTCTGTGTGGGAAGGTGGCTCTGCCTCTGCGGCATGTCCCACCAGCGTGGCAGCATGGGAATCACAGCAGCTCAGTCAGGCCTGTGCACATGCGCCATGCTCCTGCCCTGGCTGCAGCACCCTGGGCTCCGCACAGGATTTGCCTGCTGGTTTACACAGCTTTTTTGTGTGTGTGTTTGTACCGTCTATGTCCCTGCTGGGTGGAAGTAAATCTCAGAAACTGTTTGTTTAAGCCAGGTCATAGTGGGATGAGGCAATGACAGATCGATGCACAAGCAGTCTGTGACTGCATGGAGGGATTTGCAGAAAAATTTGGTATAATTGTAAGGCTTGCCTTGCTCCTAGAACTCAACACTGATGTACCTTACAGCAAAGGTCTTACAGTATCTCTCTTAATGGGCTTGCTCAGCTCTGCTGCAGTGGTGCTTCATATCAACGCAAGCATTGACAGCAAAGATTAAGATGGTAGAGAAGCAGCTCTGGCAGCTCGTGCATCACACTGAGGCTGTAAGTGCTTTTGCTTCTAATGAACCTGTCTAGCAAACATGTTTCTCTGTGCCTCAGTTTCCCCATCTGCACACTGCAGGTAATAATACTGAGACTTACTGGTGATGTACGAATAAGATGTGACCTGTGAGTGTGCTGGGGAGGAACGGGTTTCTAGAGTGCCCTTAACCTCGTCCAAGCATACCTGTATGATTTTTACTAATGTTGTATTTCTAAATAGATTTTAAAGATTGAGTGATGGGTGCATATGAATGTCTGATCAGCTCTCCAAACCGGGTAAGAGTCAAGTGAGTCAGTTACCTCTAACTTGTTTCTCATATGCTAATAAGACCATTGTATTGTAACTTACTCCACGGTTTATAAATCACTTAACTGACCTTTTATCAACCAAGCCTCTACCTTTCGTAATCACATGTGTGCATGAGAAATCCCCCAAAAGGTAACGCTAAAATATTTAAGACAGCACTGAAACCAAGTGCTGCAGTGGTGGATTACTGACGTGTAAAATGGTGTACCACCGCGAAGAACCAGTCACGGGCAAGGCTGAGCCCTGAGGTCGTCACTCGAGTGACATTTGGGTGCAGCCCCGCAGCAGAGAAGGAAGCCGGGGGTGTGTCTGTCTGTCTGTCCGAGCACCCCGTCACAGCGGGGCTCAGCCCGGTGACTGACGGGGGGATCCCGTACGGGACGTGGAGTTCTGGGGGCCCAGCTGAGGTCAGACTTCTCTGAAGATAAGCAGACTCAGAGCCCACCGCAGTCCTGCTGCCTGCCCGGTTCCCTACCGCCTCCCGCATGGAGCGGAGGGGCTGGGGGGCGCTGCCCGGGTCGGGCGGCTGGCACGCCGCTCTCGCCGTCCCGGGGTGCTGGCGGAACGCGACCCCCGAGGCTGCCGGGCTGCCATGTGCCCCCCG